TAAAGGACAAATGTTGTTTGTAATAAAGTAATGGGAGGTTGGGAACTGATTTAAGGAGATAGGATTTGATCCGGTGAGTTAGTTAGAAAATCAAATAGTCTGGCCTCACTTGATGGTTCAGTTTGAGCTTGTAGAGCCATCTCCATTTCAATTCCTCTCATTAAGGAGTTTTCTCATTCTCAGTTTCTCTCATTAAAGACACGAAGTTTAAAAGGTGGCAACTAACTAGAAGAAATTGTGTTTGTATAGTGAATTGAAATGTAATGGCCTCAGGTTCTGCCTGCAATTACATCCCTGTGAAGATATTTGTAACTTTGGTATTAATTGCAAGTACAGATGGTATCAAAATCATTTATCAGCAGCTCTTGGGTTTTATCAAAAGGATGAAAGCAAAGTGACAGGCTGAAGTGACCACCATTTGATTACTTATGTGCTTTATCACTAACACAAATAAGCCTCTGTCTTGTACTACTGAATGAAACCACTACAGCACTGGGATAGAAACGCAGCAGGGAAAGTTTCCAAAATTCCTCTACCTAGTACTATAAAATGATGTTAAAGGCAGTAATAGTGAGTGAAACAGTAAAAGTCACGCTGATTTTTATTTATGCTGCTGTACAGTAAAAATAAATCTTTATTGAAAAGAGACTGTAATCTTTATTTGGGAACTTTTTGCTCTCAACTGAAAGCCCATAATAAACCATGCAGGTTGCCCCATCATTCCATTTTCCATTCTACCAGCACAACCAGGAATTTCATTTCTCTCCTCCTTCTGTTCCTCTACTCTGTAATCATCCCAGTAAGGTACCTGCAGCTTAAGATTATATGTGACTGGCAAACCTGTCATCTTCTAAAAAAACTCTGTATAGTCACTTCTCATCTAGATTGAGTGAATTTACATACATGTCATCGGAAAATTCCTCTTCATTCAGAAAGTGAACATGTACTTTTTGCTGTGAATACCTCTGAAGTTTACAGACTCACAGTAAAACTTGTCTCCATACTCCTCTCTAGGGAAAAAGAAAAAAAAGACATTTTTCAGGTGAGACCAAAACTTGAAAATACCTATCCTCCTAAAATATTAATCAGCAGGATAACAAGAGAGATACACAGCCTAGCCTCGTCAAACAAAGGGAAAATAGATGAAGGTGGTGAGACAATTGTATTCAACGGCTGGAAAGCCACAGCTTATTCTACAGATGCTTGATCCTCCAAACTCCCTCAGTTATAACAATTTATTTTCTTCTGCATTATTTCCATGGATTTTAAGCAGATGTTAATTCTAAATGCAAGGAGAAAGAGGCATTCAGAAACAATATTAAAGCTGAACATTCACAATGATCAGCCTAGTTGGCTATTTCTAAATACCCTCCATCATCTCAGATTAAAACTAAGAATGTAATATTGAGTAACTCTTTTGTCAAGAATTAATAGTGTTCTGCTTTTTGCCTCCAGAAAACTGTAACTTAGTACTCTTCAGAAACAACCTTTTACTTTTGCTGTTTATGAACAAACAGCTTTATTATTTTCTGTTAAATATTGCGTATTACCTATTTCCTCCAATTCTTTTTGCTCCTTGGAGCACCTGCAAGTTGACACGCAGCAGAATTATGCAAGAACAGCCACTGTTATCTGTTAATAATTTTGCTAAGCAAAACAACACATGAACAAACAAGAAAACTTTCTAAACAAAAAGACACCCCTAAGGCCCCCTCCAAACAGTTGTGGTTGATTTCAAACCCTACCTATTATATAATTCATCTCCTGCATTTACTGAAGGACTCCTGTTAGTTGTCCTGCCACTTAAGAGAAACAAGCGTATGCCACACTGACAAGCAAATCATACATTGTGACCCTCTCAACTCACTGAACCACTTCAAAAAGAGGGAAAAAAAATCCTTTTGTTCATGATCAAGTTTTCCTGAAGGATTAATTTTGCAAATTTTAACTTTTCTGGATGACTTTTTTTCTTTGACATTTTTTTGTGTACCGAGGGTTCCCATTTATACATGCTAACTTGTAAAGTATGGATTATATTGTATATATGTGCAAGTCATACTCTCACTTCACATTTTTCAGTGGTATGTGCAAACATTTAATGTTTGCAATAGCTTACTTATACAAACATTGCTTTAATTTACACATTGCCTCTTTTTCCTTTCCTTGCTTACTATCCTTCTGAAGAAAGAATAACAGCAATCTGTGGTCTCCAGTTGAACTGGAGATCTGAAAATTACTAATTTTTGTTGAACTGGAATTCTCTTGCTACTAACATTTTATTGAAGATGAATGTCTTCAGTCAGCCAACTATCCAGCTGATCTGCAGCATTGTACTGATGCTGACAGTTTGCATCTGACAGTTTGTCTGTTTTTCCAAGTATATCAGTTGGCCTAACAAATGCTATAATATTGCACTGTTACCAGAGTCCCCACAAAGGGTCTTATTTCAAAGAAGAAACATATTTCATTTAATCTAGTGTAGACATTATAAATTGTTTTCTGAGCAAATCAAAACATGGCATGATTCTTATATCTGCTGCCACACCTGAGTAACTGAGCCCTGATGAGATTTTGGGCTGGACAGGACCGAGTCCCTGCAGGTCTTGGTGCTCAAGTCCAGCTGTTCCCATCATTGTCTGGGCTGCAGGGCCAGTCACAGCCTCCCTGTCCTGGGAAACTTTACCTGGGGTCTGACATTTCTGGGCATTGTCTCAGTACAGCTCCTATACACTGCCAGGTGCTGACCTGTTTGCACTGCTCACTACACACCTGCTCTAAGCAAGCCAGTCTCTTTACTTTATGTTTACAAGACTGTTTTTGTTGGAGGGTGAAGCAAAGACTTAAATATATACATATATATATATATATATATATATATATATATATAGTACTTTACTTTGATTTAGACATACTGAAGATTACTTTAAAGAGAATATCATTCTGCATGTGTAAAAATGCAAATTGAATATAGTTTTACTTTGTAGCTATCTCAGATTTCACATTGCTTTTATATTTTAAAACACAAGAGATGTAGAAGTACAAGCCCCGTGCAAAATTTATCAGAAATCTTCAAAATAGGTTTGCTATGGCCAGTGACAAATGATGTTCTATAAAGCACTGCATGACTGTTTTTAACATAGCTCTCATACATTATTTCTCCTTCATTGATTGTCCAGCAATATGAACATGGTGAAATACAAGGCATTATAAATGACATGCTTTCATATCTCCACTTAATCTTTGGCAGACTCATGCTCACTTGACTCCATATGAAAAGCAAATAAAAACAAGTGACGCTGACGGCTGGAACCGTCCCAGCAGTGAGCTCCAATCATGTATCTGTATTATCACTGTTCCATACCTGTGGTGGTACACTGCTCATGCACAACATCCCAAACATCTCATTTGCTTCAATTTCACCTCTGCCTTCCCTTTAACGGGCAGAAATTTCTCTTCAAATTCAGATCCTAACAGTCTGACCTTCTCAATACCACTGATCATCATGGATTCCACTCCACATAGTATTCCACAGTGCTCTCTCTTTTCTCTTTCTCTTTTTTCTTCTTCCTACTTTTCTTTCCTCCCTTCTTTCCTTCTTTCTTCCTTTCTCTTCTTCCTAAGAAAAGAGGTAATGCATTTCACTTGTGACAGGGTATTAGGTAGCTTGGGTATTAGGAAAAAATCCTTCTCAGAAAGAGTGGTGAGGCAGTGGCACAGGCTGCCCAGGGAGGTAGTGGAGTCACCATACCTGGAGGTTTTCAAGAAATATGTAGATGTGGTACTGACGGACATGGTTCAGTGGGAACAGTGGGGATGGGTTGGGTTGATGGTTGGACTGGATGATCTTAGTGGTCTTTTCCAGCTGTAATGATTCTATGATTTGATGACTCTTTTCCTCTTTCTTTCTCCCTCTCCCTCTCTCTCTCTCTTTTTTTTTTAAAGCTAAAACTCAATTTCTTTTTTTTTTTTTTTTATAAAAGTCCAACTTTCTCTTACCTCCTACCTTTCTAAAGTTGTTTACTCAAGAGCCCTCCTCATTTTTCATCCACTACCTCCACCTTTCTCTTTCACTGTAAGATAGATGATAAAAGGCCTGAAATCATAATGCATTGGCTTTCACTCCCAGTTTTGCCCACTCATTTTCTGCTTGATGCTGAAAGCATCACAGGAATATTTGGGATCTGACTAAGAGCTAGGATCCCACCCCCAGTCAACAAACAGCCATACTGAAGCCAGGCATATGAGAATCCATTCACACGTGCAGTGCTATAGTACTGAACACAGACTGAGGCTCAACACAGCAGTATTCAAGGCCATTGCTGGCTCCATCTGGTATAAATGGGGACTGGAAAGTGGTCAAAGCAGAATGGACAGTGAGGAGAACAGTGGGCACTTCTCTTAGAAAAGTGTGATGTGGACTTCCTGAGTGTAGTAACTCAGCCGCACGGTACACAGGGTGGCTGTGCTGTAGCTGTGTGAGGGCTGGAGGAGTTTGCTGTCCTTAATGCTTTCACCACTCGTGTCACCAGTGTCTGCTTACCCTCCTGGAAAAAGGAATAGTGCTGTGCAGATGTCATGGACCCTGGGGAAGGAAATAAGGCTTTTATGAGACCCTGGGTGGAAAGTGTAAGTCCTCAGGTGTCAGGACTGATTTAATTTCATACTTTACATCTGCATCTTTACTCAGAATCACCGTCCTCGTCATCCAGTTTGTCAGCGCTGGGAAGCGCCTCTTCAGCCTTCCCGTTATTTGAGCAGGGACGGCTCTCTGTGCTGCGTATCTCAGCGTGCGGGGCAGCAGCACGGGCTGCCCGCGGGTCGCCCTGAGCGCAACAGGGACGACAGCGCAGGCCGAGAGCGGGGCGGGCAAGGAAAGAAGCGGCAGGGCCCGCCGCGGGGTGCCTTCCGCTCCCCGCCAGCCTCGCACCCACCCCGCTCCCCCGCCCCTGCGGTCCCCGGGGCCGGACCTCGGCGGGGCGGCGGGTAAGTCCCGCCCCGAGCGGGGCGGGAGCCGCGGGAGGTGAGGTGCTGCCGGCGGAGGGTCCCGCCGCGGGGTGAGCGAGCGAGCGAGCGCGGCCGGGCCCTGAGGAGCGGCGGGTGCGGGCGTCGGGCCGGCGGGAGCGGCGGCGGAGCCGGGAAACTTCGCCGAAGTTACGGCCGAGAGCGGGAGGCGGCGGGGCCGAGCTGAGCGCTCGGTAGAGGGCAGCGGCACCGCGGGCCCGCCGGACCGCGCGCGACCGCAGCCCGATGGAGGGCGGTGCTGGTGGGGGCGGGGAGAAGCGGCGGGAGGCGGAGCCGGGCTGGAGAGCATCGCCCGTGTGCTGCGTGCCGTGCGCTGCGTGCTGCGTGCCGTGTGCCGGTTATCTAGTCACGGCGAGCTGAGGCTGCTTCGCTGCGTGCGCCGCTACGCGCTATTATTAGCGCTGGTATTTATTGTCGGTGCGCGCATCGCGAGCTATATATTGGGACGGCGTCTCCTGCAATACTCGCCCGTCAAAAGGAAGTTCTGTGAGGGAACAAGTGCCTCAGTCCCAAGCTCGGACCGTCAGAGCTGTCTTTACCTGCTGCTCTGCCTAGAAGCTCCCGCTGTCCTCTTGAGATGCTTCCATAGCTGCTTGAAGTGCACGAGGCTCGGCAGCAGAGCTCCATGCAGGCACCGTGTGTCTGTGTGGTCTGAGGTGCAGCCCCGTTAGGAAGCGCGCTGTGCCAGGGCAGATGTTCAGCAAGGGTCCCTTGGCACCAGCTAGCAGTGCTGGGCAGCCCCTGCAGCAGGCGCTGTGCTGTGGTGGGCCTGGTCCTGAGCTGAAACATGTACGTCACGTTGGTGACCAGCTGAAATGAGCAACTTTTGTGGCCGAGCAAGTCATCGTCAGTACAAATGACCTCTAGGAAATCTGAAGATATTCTGTTTTTGTTTTATTTTTAGGTGTATTTCTTGTTGAGAATGCCGTCTTCTGTGTGCTGGAAGCCTGTGATAGCTCTTGAATGAAACAGGCTTTTAGCCAGAGGTCACTTCTTTTTTGGAAAATAGTGTTTTGCCTGTGTAGAATTGCCCTGCGGTTTATGCTGGATGTGTTTGTTATCCAACATTATCCGCCATAATACGTTCTGTAGTGTTTAAAGGTTGTTGCCTTCTTCCTGCTGGGGGCTGCGGTTTGGTGATGGGTGAAGTGATGCTTGTAATAGGTGGTTTTGTATCGTTTTGTCAGGTACTTCAGGACTGTTACATGAAAGACTACGTATGTGTCATTTATTATTATGTGTGCTTCTCATGTTTTGGAATTTAACAGACATAATATTTGCCCTCATGTCACCATCATCACATTCATTTTCATAGTAATAATCAAAGGTGGCAACAATGGCATTCAGATGTTTAATTACATTTCATATAGGTGACCAGTGTTAACTTATTAAATTAATGCGTGGTGGAGCAGGAGCAAGTGTCACCACTTCCCTCTGTGCTTAGGAAGACATCAGCTTGCTCCTCACATATCAAAATCAGTATAGTCAGCCATATGGCACCAGAGAGTGTTTATTAAAGGAATGTTTCTCTGAACATTCTGTGTACTTTATTTCTTATTTCACTTCATGTGGATCTAAAATATTTTTTCCATCTCTCAGAAATTAAAACATTGAACAACATTCATTCTTCAGCAAGCTGAAGCCAAGATTTCTTAAGGTTTCATGAAAATTAATAAAGCTGGATTTTTGCTTGCATCAGACTAGATTCCTTCTCCACAGTTTGCTTGCCACTGGGCATTTTCAGATGGGTCTGGAGAAGTTCTTCTGGTCTCACTGCTGGAACTCTTGGGGGCTGTAAACTTTGATGTGGAGATCCCACTCTTTGTTGCGCATTTCACACTGGGTATCAAAGATTTCTTGCAGTGCAACTAATTAGCAGTTTCCAGGATGAAGATTTCAGGACAAAGAAGATACTGAGTTTGTATCTTCTTGCAGAAATACTTTGTTACTCTGTGACACAGAAAGAGAAGACGGTTCTCTGTACAGTTCTTGTTAACTGCGACCATTCAACTGTACTTTGAAAAAGCCAAAGGGTGTGCAAGAGAGCTGATAACCTTTCCAGCTTCTGTGTGTCAGTTGTTCCTGCTGTTCTGATGTTGTACCCAACTGAGGGTGAGCGTACAAGTAAAGTTCATTGAGCAACCTGGTCTAGTGAGAGATGTCCCTGCCGGTAAGGGCAGTGTGGAACTAGATGATCTTAAAGGTCCCTTCCAACCTAAACCGTTCTGTGTTTCTGTGATTGACTTTGACCGCTGACAAAGCATACAGACTCTATAAAGATGGACTCTGACTTACAAGACTAAGTTACTAAGTTGCACCCCAGCTTTGGGTTGCCTCCTGTTTTGCTGTGTGGGCTATATTCTGCTGGAACAGAAGTTGCCACAGGCTGCCATCTCAGATGAGGCACTAAACCTTGTATCCATGCTATGGAGATATGTGTGACCTTAAGTAAAGAGAAAACCAATCAAATCGATAAGAATAATGGTAGTTAGCTGTATGCTTAAGTTTCAGATCTGAAATTTGGAGGGAATGAAGACTGGAGACATATTCATTTCCTGTATTACACTGTCATAGCAAGAGAGCATGTACTTGTAACCCAGCACCATGAGAAGCAAATAAGATTCTTTTTAGCCCTAGGAATACAAACACATGTATCAGCATGCAGGCCTTGGCCTGTGTTTGCACAGACCGTTATACAGTGTAAAGTGACTTCAGTCCTGATATTTGGCCTAAAACCACTGTACGTGCATGTAAAATATAATTAATGTAATGCTTGATCCCGGGGCAGAATTTTTATATGACCTTTTATCAGTAGTAGTTTTGGAAGCTGCCCAAACTGCAGAATCCCCTGGAGTTCTTATAAAGGAGAAGTTGATGAAAAAAACATTTATGGGGATGTTGATCTCAGATCTCTGAGGAACAGAAACTTCCATGTGACTTTGCTCTGAGAAGCCTCAGTTCTGAGTCTGGTATCTGCCTAGAAATAAGGTAAAATGAAAGACTGACTTTATTATTTTAACAGCAGCTGAACTTTAACCAGATTTTTAAAAAGCGTGTGTATTAAATGGTAAGGAAGAAATCAGTTCTGTGCTTGTCTGACTCAAGACCAAAGTAGTGTGAGAATGTGACCTTCAGACTGTGTGATGCTGGAAGGTCAGCCTGTCTGCCAGTAGCTGAGCAATGCAAGGAGTGTGCAGTGAGAATGTTCACTTATCCTTCCAGGTGAATGTTCTAAAAGCTTTGCTCTCACTTGCCCAGTTCCTTTCCCAAAGGTGTATTTTTCAAAGGTTCCAAGGGCAACAAATCAATATATTGGCCTTTCCCCTATGTTGAAATAGTGTTTAAATTCTCTTACAACTCAAGTGTCTTTGCTTTTAATTTGCAGGACAATGTAACTGCTTGAGATGTGTTTACACGTGTGTTTTGCTGGGACTTGTGTCATTGCAGGATTATGTTGTGCTCACTAAAAGTCTTGTAACTTTTTTTCATGGCACATATTGTAACAAAGCAAAGTCTTGTTTCTACTTCTGTTGTCTAAAAACTTTTTGGCTGCTCAAATCATATGTAAGAAATGTAATAAGAATCATATGTAAGAGGAAAAACAGTGTTTGAAATTTCATTTACCTTGGCTTCTTAAAGGAAGTGGTGCTTCTCATTGCTGTAGGACCAGAGCTAGGTTGTTGAAGGCCACTGTGTTAACACATTATTCTGAATATCTCTGGGACCACGTGTTTAAGGGAAAAAAAATACAAGGGATGGGCAATGCTTTTTGATTATTTCTCCCCAAGGATCTCTTGTTTTTGGATGCACTGGCCAATTCCTACTCAGTCAGGAGATTACAGACACGTGAAATGGTGAGATTCTTACTTTTCCATGAAAGTATAGCCACACAAAGATGAGAAATTGCAAGTGCCCTATTAAGGGAAGAGCTACAATTTATGCTTCTATGGGGTCAGATGAGAGCTCCTGTAAGAGAGAGATGCTGGAAGTGTTGACCTCTGTCAGAGGGCTTTAATCAAGGTAAGGAAAATCACTCCTAGCACACATAGATCCTTAGGACACTAAGGCTTGCCCCAGTGTTACTTGCAGGGTGGTACTAATAGGCCATTCTGATGCATTTTTACTGGGAGCTAGGGGGGGAGCCAGCACTGCACATCATCCCCTTTCCCTTAGTACTTCTGCACTAAGGAAGGGGCCATACAATGAAAAGCTGTCATGAGACATTTTTTTTTTTTTTTTTAGCAACAGAACATAAAGCTAGTGAATAAAGAAAGCACTGCCTCTACTCGGATGGATAAGATGACCTGCTGCAGCTTTATTTTCTGAGTTAGCATAATATTCAGAAAGTCTGTTAGTCTCATAGCTCCAGTCTGGGATAAGAAAACAACCAATGTCACTTCTTATCATTCAATCAGGGAAGGACGGTTAGGAGTTTAATGGAAATAATCTGCTTCACCTTCAAAGAAGAACATCTGTTGTTTGTGCAGAAGAGACAAGAGTTTGCCCAGAAACCTGCATTTTTTCATTGTCCTTTGACCCCATTTCCAAATTCAGGTTTTCATGTATCAGAAAACTTAGAAAACTTGCTTGTGTGCTGTGGAAAAAAGAGAATAGTTTCACCCTATAAACTTCTGTGGTAGTTTTCTGCATCTATGCTCTGCATTTCTGATTCGGGCTTTTCTGTGCATTGTAGAGGTTGCTCACAGTAGAACTGAGTGCTCAGAGTGTTTCCTCCAGCTATAAGTACATAGCAAACCTGTGCTGCTGTATCACACTTCCTAGGATTACCTGATTATACAGGGAAAGACCTTCTTACAATGTTCCCCACACAGCCAGAGCAACCAGTATTACTAAATGGCAGCCATGTTTAATTTTGTTCTTATATAATAAATATCTATTCACCAGCCATTCTTTTTTTGCATTTTTTAATTCTTTTTTGTCACCTCAGTCAGGGTTTAGTGTCACTGTAATCTTGCATTGTAATGTAATGACAATAAAATGATTCTCATACAAGTCTGGAGAGAATATGTGCTAGCAGCATTAAAATGTGCTTACCGAATCAAAACAAGTGCAGCGTTAGCATGTGGGAGCCGTGCCTGTGCGTTTGTAATGTTTCAGCAATATGAGATTACTGTGAGAAGCAACTAATCCAAACCTAGGAAGACATCCCATTACAAGACCATTAAATGACACAATGGCTGATGTGCACATTTCAGATGGGAAAAGCAGAAGCACAGATCTTGCGGTCGGTATTCAGTCAAACCATCTATTGAATTTAGTGGAGTTTTTACTGGAGCAAGGAATGCAGTACTGTGACTTTTTTAGCAGCAAGTTTCTTTTCTCTTAATAATGCTGCTAGAAAAAATATTTACCTCACCACTATTTAACAGTAGCCTAATGGTGAGAGTTGTATTTTGTGCACCATACAATGAGTTGTAAGGATTTGTCTGGGGTTTATTACAGAGATGTAGAACATTGTTTGAAGGCTGTTGTGAAAAAATACATTTGATTGTATCTTAAAATTACATCTATTTTCCTTTTATCTCAGTATGTAATTTTCAGGAAATATCATTTATTTCCCTTTTGGAGGAACCTTGGTCTGTGGGGGAGTGCTTTGGCACTGCCACAGTGTAAATTGGAAATTTCCAAACCCAAAATACCATTATGGCCAAAGGCTGCCCCTTTATCCTTTGTCATAGGGAAATACACCTTTCCCCCTTTTCGCCTCCCATTCTCTCCCCTCCCCTCAACCAGGGTGAGGGTTCAGAAGGCAGAATCTACACATCTCCTGCGGGGCCACCTAAAATGCTTGTCCAGTGTTGTTTCTTGACTCCCTGCATAGCCCATGGAAGGAGGCAGATACAGAACATAACTTGTCCCAGCCTGTCTCGAACATTCAGAGTAGGCTGCATGAATTGCCTTTGGATATGTTTTCTATCCCACTATGAAAATGGTCTAGGCAATTACACTGTAGAAGATGTGCACCATTTTAGTTGGCTAAATGAGAGGGTATGAATTCAGTCCCCGCGAGTACAGAAGAACAAACTTTTGGAGGAAAATTATGTGTAAAACATGGCATACCAGTCATTAGTAAAGGCTATGGACGTTGCTTTCTGAAGAAACATATACACGTTTAAATTAAGCAGCAGTCGTTATTCAATTTAATAGCTGTTTGCACATAAATCTGTTTTAAAGTCACTAATTAAATTATGTTTCCATTAGGCGAATCTGATCAAGAATAATGTATCATTACAGCATATTCATGGCATGCTGTCTATGTAAATGACGGTAGAGAAGATAACAGGACAGTGTTTTTAAAAATAATTCCAGTCACGAATTGTTGGCTGTCTTTAGTTCTCGTAATATTTTTTTTTATTAGAAGTGTTGGTTTTCTAAAATTGTGTTAGTAAGCACGCACTGACATTAATGTTAATCATATTTTTCAGTAAGATAAAATTAGGCCTACTTTAAATGCTGTTTGTGTCATTTTCCATTTTTGAGATGCTTCTTACAGTCATAAAAATACTTGGCCTCAATCAAAAGGTTCAATAATAGGTCGTGCTTTTGTAAGCATTTTAGATATGCTATAATCTGAACTCCAGAGTTTAAAAATTAACAGATTAATACCTACTACAAGAGAATCCTGGCACTGTAACAGCTAATTCTAGATGTTTCCCGCTGTTGTAAATCAGAAGGCAGCAGCCTTGGGCTGTGTGAAGATTTCACACAACCATGGGTCTTCCCAATCTTCAGGCCAAATTAACTGAAGGTAATTTAATTTACCTGTATCAGAAAGGAATTGGTGGGAGCAGATGTTGAAAGTTTTTTATTTAAATGAAACACATTGGAAAGTGAGCAAAACTTCTGAATCACATAGAATGGCTATTTGGAGTCTCTGAAGTGTCAAGTAACTGAAAAAATAACTCTTTCCTGTTAAGGAAAGAGACTGTAATTATTTTGTTTCTGAATTTTTAACAGAGCTTCAATACTTACATATTTAGAGACCTAAATATTCATATAGGTTTGTTTTCCTAACTTAATACATTGATTTGAAAATCATCAGTGAATGAACATAGTGAAAAAAATACATCTGCAATACAGAATGGGTATCGCTCTTTGTGTTGCTGGGTTCCTATTGCATTGGGATATCACTCTTTGTGTTGCTGGGGTCCTTCTGCACACCAGAGTATTGATGCTTAATGAAAAGAAAAAAAAAAAAAAGTAAGGGTACAGTTCTCATATAGTTTCTTTGCTGTGTGCATAAGAATGAGTCAGATCATTGAACTTTCTCCAGAATAGTGGGCTGTTCTATAGAGCATCGCTTTATTCCAGAATGCAGTTAATGGCTGGGTAACTTAATTGAATTGCAGTTAGCAGCAGTTTCTGACTAAGACAGGTATTTTGCTTTTAAGTGTTTGCTCAAGAATAATATTTTCTGAAATCATGCACTTCATAATTTGTTTGGCAAAAAATAAATCATTCTATTAGTCAGCCAGCAGTCTGTTCTATGAGAATAATTATTCTTCTGCCTTCTCCAACAAGTCAACGCACCAGTCTACAAATGAAATTCATAAAAGAACAGTTCTTCCTAAATGGAATTATCACACACGTCTCCTTACACAGAGAGCGAGAAGTACGGTCAGTCGGTTTCTTTTTCTTATGGACAGCCGAGTTCTCAGATAAAGGAACTGCCAGCAGTGCAAACTTAACTCGACAGGTGACGTCTGCCTTCTACAGGTCACTGTGACAAGTGTACTCTGACAGTGAGTCTTGCTTATGAAAAGAAAGTATCCCCAAAGAGCTATGGGTGTTCTGCTGCCCTTTGATATGCAGACTCGAGTGCCCTTCAGATTTCAGCTTTCTGTCATCCTAGTAGATTAACATTAGCAGTTAAAAGGAAAATGTCTTCTGAGGGCTTCACCAGTGGCAAATCCATGTTTGTGATATTATTCACTAGAGGGAGACAGAAATGGGAAAGACCTCTCTCTTTAATCAATAATGCATGCTCTAGTTAGTCCTGTCCTCTGGACATGATTAAACATGTATTTTGTTTTATAACTGCTGATTTTGGTTGACTAGGGATTGTAACTACATATCCTCAAGCCTTTGCAGCTAGCATCAGGAAGATCTAACATGAACTGAGTAGTCAGCTGTGTTTAATGTTAATATTGCACATAAACTAAAAAGACCACCCCCACCCCCAAAAGAAGAAAAATCACCCAAAATCCCAATGGAGCAGCTAATTCTAACCTGTAGAGATCCAGGCTAAGATTCCACCGAGCAGATGTCTGTGATGTGAGCCAATTGTAGATGGTAGCCTACAGGTATGTCTTTGTCACCGTTCATTTGAAGTTTTGAAAAATAACATGGTTTCATTTCTGTTAAAGATAAGGAAAAAAAGCTCAGCATAGAGGCTGAGCCATGTAAATTAAATGTTAGGCTAAGGTCTGTTCTCAGCTGGTAAAATATTTGGCCAAGGAAGCTGATGGAAAAAGCATTTTGGGAGAACACTGGAATTTCTGCCTAGCTGGATGGGGTCGGGTTGGGTTTTCTGTGTCCGTTGTCTCTTGGAGGAGCTGCCCTGGGGCTAGGCAAGTGGGGCTGGCAGGACTTGGCCCATGTAAGAGACTGAGAACTTGGCCCCCCTCCCTGTGTTCCTTGTGCTGGAGCACACAACGATCCTCAATGTGGGAAGGGGAAAGCGCGTCTTGGAGGACACAGAATGAACGTGCCAGTCAGGAACACTCAGTTTGGATGCCAAGTGTGTTCATCTAGTGGCTCAAGCTGACAAAATTCAAGATGTCAAAATTTGACAGCTGCTAAAGAGTAGAGAATCCAAAATGAACATGCAGTGGTTGTTATTAAATAGGAAACATTTATCTTAATGTGGTACCGGCTACTGCACAATAAATGATGATGATGATTTCCATTCACTGAAATGTGATATTTTTATACTGTTAGAGAACTGGCACAGTTGTAACTGGATAACATAAGTGCTTTGTTTTTTGTATTGATTGTTCTGCTGAAACCGTGTTGAAACCATTCAGGCGCGCACTGGATGTGGGTATGTGTGTGAGTGAAAATTCAGAAATTTTCTAAGAAATGCTTTTGCATGTTCTAAAATATTTTGTTTCCTTTCTTCTTCCCAGAGTTTTTCAAATCTGATTTTTTTTCTCATTACAATAGCTGAAGAAAAATGTCTTCCTTGAGTGGAAAGGCACAAACTGTGCTGGGCCTGGTGGAGCCGGAGCAGCTCGGCTGTACGTTGACACATGAGCACTTGTCCATGGACTACAGCAGCTTCTTCTGTCCACCTTCACCAGGCCAGGAGCCTTTGTCTGAGGGGCCCATCAAGATGAAGAATTTGTTTTGGATCAAGCAGAATCCCTACAGCCATAAAGACAACCTTCTTCTGTGTCAGGAGGTGGATGCCGTGAGGGAGGAGCTGCTGCATTTTAAAGCAGCAGGTGGTGGAACTATTGTGGAGAACACGACCACGGGAATCCGTCGGGATATGAAGACTTTGAAGAAACTCGCTGAAGAAACTGGAGTTCATATTATTGCTGGGGCTGGGTTTTACGTGGATTCCACACATTCTTCTCAAACACAGGCTATGACAGTGGAGCAGGTAAGTCTTAAGCATTTCTTGGGGGTCTCTCTGTTGTGAATCATCTCTGGATGTGTCAAAGATGGAGAGAACTTCAAACAAAATGGATGAAATCCTTAAGTTCTTACTTTGCAAAACTCGAGAGCGGTGTTCCTGCTTTCGTGTAATAGCTGGCCCAGCCCTACTGGTGTGTACTGGGATTATCTGTCAGCATTTCCAGTTCTTAAGCTCTGTTTTCTCCCAGGGATTAGTTGTAATGCAACAGCAAAAGGAAAATAAAATATTTCATGTGTAGGCATCTGGTACAACACCAATTATCCTTTTTACAATTATTTAGGGAAGAAGCATATCTCTTCTTCCTCGTTTGTCTATTTCCCTGGTAATTACTTCCCAATTAGGTCACGCAGAATTCTTGTAAAAAGCATAAAAAATAGCAGCATTTATAGGACAGTTGTAAATCATCACTGTGCTCAAGCTGCCAGTTATTTCCCTCTTCTCTACTGTTTTGCAGGCTTTTCAGTGCAGAATCTAAATCCTGTTGTTTGCACGATGCCCAAGACAATGTGTTAATAATGACTGAGATCCCCAGATATTTCTACAATAATAAATATTCATTCATTTTTTATTAAGAAAATGTGATGATAGGGAGAAGAAGGGAAGGAACTCTCCAAGGCAGGAGGCAGTGAATGTGAATGAGTAAAGCTGAGAAATGTTGTTTTTTTAATCTATCACAGTTTACAAATGAGTCAAATTCATTTTAAAAATAAATGTTTAAAACTTCAGCAGATGTAATGTGATATAGTACTGTAAGCCTCAGTGGACAGAAGTGGAACAAGCTGTAGGACAGTGCTTTCCCTAAACATTTAGAATTTGGTACCAATAGATGTCTTTGGGCAAAGGTTTCCCTTCAGTATTTGGTGGACTGCAGCAGATCCACAGGTGTCCTGTAGTCAGCAGTTAATCAGTACTTAATCCAGTCCAAAAGATCATTATATGTTTGCTCCAGAAATAATGCCTCCTGTTTATTTCCATGGAAACTACAACAGATACAAAGAGCACAGTGAAACTATTTGATAGGGCAAATCCTCAGCTACAAAACACTTTTCCAGCATGGTCACCACCATTAGCTCTGTGTATTTAGCAGGGATTTCCCTGCATGCTATGCTTGCAACAGTCTGCACTAGCGGGGGTGACCCAGTGTCACAGTCACCACTGAAATGCACCGCCCATCAGCTCACTTTGCTCTCATCCACTGTTTGGTCTCCATAAACATTCAGCAAGCATCAATGAATGTCACTGAATGCAATTTTTTTTTGCATGGAAGAATTCACACACCTTTGCTTCATCCACACTTTCATGTCACACACTGTTTTGTCAGACTGCAGCTCTGCTGCCATCTGTCACGTGGCAACAACATGTAACAGAGTGCTGGAGGCAAGGTTCCACCTCTACTGCTGTACCACCAACATCCGCATCTGATGTTCTGGGTCAGCATCATAAAATAGGAGACATTACTTTTAGAGCAGCCCTTATGGTTACTAACAAAGAATTGGACAGTGACTGATCTGTGGTAAGACTAATTTGACTTAATGACATGTTTTCTGATTAGGCAAAGATAATTTGAGTTTTTTTTTTTTGCTAGCCTTAGCTGAATGAGGGAGATATGTAGGTGTTTGTAAGTTCACAGAGGTGTTTAGTGAAATGAGAGTGTTATTGATACAGGAGCAATGCTCTTTGGGTTGATCTCAGGAGAGAAGTGAAAAAAGTGAATTCCCTGTCTGGTTGTCTATAGAAACGTTTAGTAGGTTGGTTATACATGAAGCAGAAGGTGTGTGATCATAGGATAGAGGGTCGGGCATATGCTCAGTTGAGATTTTTGCTTGTAGTTCTGGCGTCAGTTGAGTTATTGTAGTTTTACATTTGCATTCCAAAGAGCAGGATTTGCCTTAAACTTGACTTTTGGGTCCTGTGGCCTGGAGTCTTTGCCAGACTTTCTTCCTTTCCTGTCTGAATAACAAGGATTCCTTATTTGCTGAGCCCTGATTTAGCAGGAATTGTTTCTGGATCCACCAGCTTAAATTAGTACTCAAATTGTGTGTGGACCTGCTTTCCCTACAAACTGGACAATTGAGGGCGAAATGCTCTTAAGTGTGGATACTGTTATATTGATTTCCTTCTCTGTTTATTTTGGTCTTAGTTAATGGCTAGGTTAATGTTAGTTGGCAGAAACTAGATTTTAACTGCAGCATTTTCACACACCCAACTGTTAAATAAGTCCAAAAGAACCTCGGTAGTAGAGCTTGCACAGCGTCCATAGAACACATTTGATGCTTCTTTAATAAAAACAGTATTACTAACAAAAAAACTCATTTCCCCAATCCTCAGCTCACAGGCATCATTGTTGATGAGATCCTCCACGGAGCAGATGGGACCGACATCAGGTGTGGTGTGGTGGGAGAGATCGGCTGCTCCTGGCCCATGACTGCAAGCGAGCGCAGGGTGCTGCAGGCGGCTGCACACGCACAGGCACAGATCGGGTGCCCCATCATCATCCACCCTGGCAGGCACAGCGATGCACCCTTCCAAATAGTTCGCATCCTGCAGGAAGCTGGGGCTGACACTTCCAAAACAGTCATGTCTCACCTCGACAGGTAAGCAGGCTGCTCAGCTCACCTTCTGGCCGTGCTTCCACAACTCGTGGAATTCTCTGGGGAACAGCTCTGCAAAAAACTATTTTTTATTGTGCTCTGATATCGTGACATGAAGTATATTTTTGTGTTTACTGACTTTAAATATGTAACTCCTTATATAAAGCTTGATCAGTTTCCAGCACTTTGATCTGGATCAGCTCTTAGGTTCATACTGATAAAAACACCCACGAATTTTAAACACTCCTTCAGAAGCTCTGGATGGAAGATTAGGAATAACTGTAGATGCATTTTGCATTTTTTTATTTCTTAAAGAAGATTCAATGAATTCACCTTCCTGTACAAGTCACGAGAACTGGATGTTGAGTGGCTTTCACCAGATGTGGTGGGGGCTGCTGGGATTCCAGCGTTTTAGAAAATGGGCCACTGTTATGGGCCTGGCCACTGTCTCACTGATGCTAATGGAGCACTCACTGATTTGGGTGCATTCTGGATCAAAGCTGGATCTTTTCAATTCTGCTGTCAGGCAGAAGAAATACTACTTAAAATGAAAACTGTTGGATTTTGGATGATCCTTACCTTAGACCACAGAGCTAACTTCCAGTTTCCTTGAGGGTAAAAAGCTGAAGCCCTACATCAGACATGTGGAGGAACCAGGATGCTTTTCTCACTCCAATTTAGAAGCACATTCTCTATTAACAAATTATTTTTGTGTGATCTCGTGTGGCTCATGATGAGTTGGAAAAAGTCCGAGCATTGATTAGTTTGGACAGTTGTTGAATAATGGAGACTGTTTGTGGTCATATGACTCTCAGCAATTGGATTGTTTGTCCTCAATATGACTGTAATGCAGGCAAGAGCTCTGATCTCCAAATTTCTAATCATTATAGGCTCTATGAGCTTACAAATCACGCTTCAGGTTTTGTGTATTTGTACAGAGCTTGGTGTTTTGTATGAGGATTTTAGGAGCATAATATTCAGTGTCATGAGATTTTACTTATATTCTATGATATAGAAACGATATGGCCTTTTCTTATGTATTTACCTGAATTTCTTTGTATGTATAGCTCTTTTTTTTCTTCTCAGTTCTTAGGAAAAACTGATGGCTTAAATCTTTTTGTGAAAGGAAGGACGGAGCGGGCTGCAGCATCAGTACTTATGGACCCATTTTTGCTACAACATCAACACCAGTTCTGTTTTTTTGTCTTTATACACTGTTGTAAGTCATTAGATTCAGTGATTTATTGGTGGAAAAAATAAGCAACGTAAGTAGGAAAACAGTCAAGGCAGAGGTGCAGTTTCTCTTACAACCACTGATAAGCAATATGGCATTTCCTTATTCTGTCTTTCTTCCATCGTTATTTTCACACATTCAGGTTGGCAGTTGCTGTAACATAGGCTCTAAACTGCTGTGAAGTTTGGCTTTGCAATGTGCATTTAACATTTTAAGTCTCTTTCACTGAGAAGAATCCATGTGGGAGCATCCCAGCCCCTTCAGCGTGAGATGAATTTGTACATAGCTCCATATTTCGTGCCAGCTTTTGACATATGCAGAGGGGCAGTTTTCAGGTGGATTTACAGGCAAATGCTAAAACTAAAATGCAGGCCACCGTTCTGCCATTTAGCATCTTAGAACAAAAGGTAGCAAGTGTCCATCTTGGAAATACGGTGCACATGAAGGCTAGGAAGCAAAAGCTCCTGAGTCTTGGCTACTGAATTCAATCCCTTAATGGGGATTAAGGTTGTAAAGGTATCTTGGTAGAGATCAGCATCCATTGCTTCGGGAGCTTTTGTTCAAAGACTCACAGCAAGTGTTGGTAATGCTGGTCTGAAAGTGCCTCAGTGGGTGTCCTTTAGGTGACTTACAGATGAAGACCAGCCTACAGGACCTGCGTTCCATCTCAGTTTCCTTGCGTTCTGGACAGCTCAAGGCCATGCTGCCCCAACACCTACATCCAGTACACAGACCAGCCACTGGAACTGGGAGCTGCTGCTGCTGCATCCATGAGGCCTCCAAGAGGACTCAGGGGCTGGGGAAATCACACTCTCCTGCTCTTTGCTGGGACAGAACTTGCAAAACCACTGTGCTATGTGTAGTTTCCAAAACCTGTTGTTCTGGCTGTGATTTTGAAATACGTTGTTGGTGGAGTGTTTTGTTTGGTTGTTATTATTATTATTATTATTATTATTATTATTATTATTATTTGCATGATTAGTTTTTGTTTTTGTTTTCAAAAATACATAGGGTCACTGCACAGGCAGAGGTACTCTTGGCTACTGTCCGAGCTGAGTGTGATTGGATCTAGAATAATCCATGTTCTTGCTCTGCACCTTGAAAAAACACACATGGCTTCATTCTTTGTAAACTGTAACATTTGTTTTAAAATAACACTTTCAGTTAATTTTACTTGACAAGTCTTAGACTCTTACTGATGGCAGGCTTCTGTCAACAAGGGTTATCTCTCTCGTTTGTTCCTCCTCCTTGATCCTGTTAAGTCATAATATATTGAGTTTGTGATATCAACCATTTCCATAGTAGCAGACTGTGATGTAATTGTATAGGATAAAATTATGATGTGAATATTAGCATAAGAGAAGAACAGAACTACAGCCATTCTGGTTAACTGTGTTGCCCTGGTGGAAAGCTATTTTCTCCCTAGATGCAAAAAATGTGTAATGGTTATAAGAATAAATTTACATGGGTTAAAAGGTTTACATTTGAGGGTTGGATAGTGGGTTTTCTTGTTGCTCCTATTTTTCATTTGCATAGTTTATATTCTTGGTAAAAATGTTTCAGAGAAAAAAATCACAGAGCTGTAGAGTTATCCTTCTTTTCCAAATGAGTGATGGGTTTTAGTAGCTTTGTTTCTTCACTTTTTAAATCTGATGTAAAAGCCATACCTCAGCTACTTGCAGACCCATTATATATTTTCGTAAGAGCATTTCCTTAAGGTGTTCTGGCCACATCCCAGTGCAGACTGTGATATATTGCATTTCCAGTGACAGTCTGGAGACATCACTGTACATTATGGAAACTAAAGACAAAGTTATGTATTAATGGTGCTTGATGGATGAAACAAGCCCTGGATGTATCCGTCTCCTGTAACTCTTCTGGGAAAGTAAATCTGTCTTATGTAAGCAATCCATTGTCTTTTTTTTTAAATGTCACTGAGTTAACCTCCTCCTTAAATGTCCTTCCTTGTTTGATTGTCTATTTAATAGTTTAGTGATATCAAAAGTAAGTAACCTTTCTGTTTCCATTTAAAGATGATTGTAAATGTTCTTATTTTATCATGGGGGAAGAGTTGCTTTTGCTTCATTTGCATTTAATGCATGATTGGAAGAAAGACAGTGCTGTGTATTAGGCTATGTTGCATGTGTCAAACATGAGTTCTGTTTTTCAACATCTTATGTTATTGTTTTTGTTCCTTACAAGTACGAAGTCACAAAATATCTTACCATCCTACCATGAGATTTTTTTTTTCCTTTTACAGTGCTGACATTTTGTTCTGTGTGTTCTGCAGGAGCATATTTGATACAAAGAAACTTCTGGAATTTGCTAAACTTGGATGCTACTTGGAGTATGACCTATTTGGTACAGAATTTATCTATTACCACTTCCAACCTGACATTGACATGCCAAGTGACAATGACAGAATTGCAAGGTACCTGCTTCAATGTGGTTTAAGCAATAGCATTGTCATTGACAAATTAATATTATTGGTGTACATCTTAAAGGGCATCACAGAGCAGTTCTGCTTACAGTTCAAAATTGTCTTTTCTCATACTAAAATAATGGATAATTTTTTTTGCTGCTGTCACTTCTTTAGGGCACCATGTATAATTTCTTCTATCTGCAAAGGAAAACGTGGCGTCAGAGACTCGTGGAGTATAACTTGAGAAAAAGATCAAAAGCTGCTTTAACTTCATTCTCTGTCCTAATTCCATGCTGATTTTGTTTAATTTTATCATTTACTGGATGTATATAGACTGTCAAATTATAAAAGGGAAGTCTGGAAAAACAGGGTATGTGTTAAGATTTGACTTTTGTTGGAAACTCAGTGTCACTACCAAGCGAGCCTGTAATGTCTTCTCACAAGTGAGCAAAACTCATTGGTTTTCTTGCATGGATTTGGTTCTCTTTTACCATCCTGAAAACCACACTTGTTCTTCCACACTTTTTATCGTTTATCTTCCCTGTTTGCTTTGTCCTTTCCTGCTTTGGAAGGATGAGGCTCCTGTCTCTTCAGAGCTGTCGTTCTCTTCATATTCACAATGTTAAAATATTGGCCCTACTGGCAGGATCTCTCTTCCCCATTTCTCATCAGTGCATGCAGTCCCAGCTCAGCTGCAGACAGGTCTGCTGTGCTCTGCTAACACGAAGCATTGCTAAAGCATTGCTCCATTCTCTCTGTCCAGGTAGGTCATCCTCCTTTGCTGTTCATTTTCAGTGTTCACGTGTAGTCAAGTGGCAGGTTTCTGAGGGGTGGGATGCCAGCCTACCTTATGTCTTTTCCACTTCCAGAACCAGAAGCAATTCTTCCTTTCTCTTTCATGAGAAAGCCTGTAAGGCTCTTAATCACCAGCGAAGTAGCTTGCTTGCTTTCACCTGCACCTGAGATCTTGCTTTTTTGCCATTCACCATCAGATTAGCTGCAAACCATCTCTGTTTTAAGACTGTTGTAGTTACTGTTCCACTTATTGCCAAGCGTTCGCTGCTGCTTTTCACACTAGGAGTCCTTTCTCTAACAGAACTCTCTGTCTTGTGCTTAGTATTCTGAAGTGTTGGAATGAGTCTGCAGTTTTCACACTGAGAATGTGAATGTGTTGCTCCTCTCTCCTGTGCCACAGTTGGTCAACATGCATGGAAGTATTGGGAAGAAAATGTGTAGAAGGATGGACTATGCCTTGGTTAATAAGTATTTGTTCAGCCATGGCAAAGTTTTCACTCCATCCATGAGTCCTGCTTAGCCACCAACATCTCTCCTTAAACTCTCTGACAGCTGAGTGTTCGTTGCAGCTCTGCTCATAGGCAGAAAATACTGAAAGTTTGTTTTCTCTTGTATGATGTGAAAACCTGCACTCTACTTAGGAGTGCCATTAGGTGGATTTTACTAAGCTTTTGGTGCAACCACACTGGGCATTTGATGACAGTGGCAATCTTCCTGAGTTGCTGGGTTTTTTGTGAGTTTTTGTTTTTGTTTTGTTTTGGTTTTTTTTGGTCAAGCAGTGCCAGAGAGGTGGCAATCCAAATGGTCTTTAAGTGTGTCAGTGGAACACATTTTGACCAAACTAAATGGAAAAAAGTTTGTTCAGATGTTATCTATTCAAAATATAAGTAAACTTCTGTAGTCAGACAATAGCCACTCAAACAGAGTTTAATTTGTTTGTACTTAACTCATTTATGCTGCAACCTATTGCCAGTGCAAGTAGAAAACTGAATTTTTTCAAGGGCAGCTTTTCCCTGAGTCAGCAGCACGTACCAACTGAACTTAGAGGAATGAGCAAGCTTCAAATATGGAATGTAAAGGACCCTATGCTTCCCCAAACCACAAAGTGAGTCCAGCTGTGGAAGAAGATGATCTTAAAAGGATGTTTAATCATCCAAGAACTTACACAGTCCTCCAGTGCTGTTGCTCTTATTCTCTGATTAACTTGTGGTTTCTGTGTTTCAAGCTCGAGAAAATACTGGTGACATCGTAATCCTACAATATACATACTATTTGTATTGTTCTTGTGAAAGATGTTTTCTTACCAAGCTCTGTCACACTTGACTTTTTCGTACTGTGCCCATATTAATTAGGTCATGCTAGATGTATCTCCTCATAAGTAATTGTAATAAAAACTGACAGTAAGGGTTTCCAGATATGGTGTGGTTACTTACAGAACTAGAGTTTGCTTTCTTGCTGATCAAAGTACAGTCAAGAAGGTGAAAATTAGAATTTCACAGTGCTGGCATATGATGGAAATGGGTGGCTCAGTGAGAAATGGTCCAGTCTGTCTGCCTCTGCCACTTTAATGCTGTGGTCTGCTACTAATGCAAGCAAAAAACAGAAGCTTAGGGGTGTAAAGTCATGCAGTGCAGAAGTTTGGACTCCTACAGAATAAGTTCTAAAAACTGAGTGTAGCAAGGGATTAAGATTCCCAGAGTGAAATGAGGAACAGAAGGCCTCCTTGTAGCAGGCTTGCCACAAGGCAATGACCAGAAGTCTTTGAGTCAAGCTTGTCAGTTTGCCGAGTCTGTTCAGCTGGGCTGCTGCATTAACTCCTCTTACTTGCTGGCACATGCCAGCACTTTACAGTGCTTGTCTTATTTATTTAATTTATTTATTTAATGAGCATTGAAACGTTTGGTTGATAATTGTCTATGTAGAATATGATGTTGACAATTCAGAATTTTTATCAACCTGGTTGTTCTAGATGAGAATTAACTGACAGTGTGAAAGCATTGGTGTAATTGAGCACAACCAGTCAGGTCCTTAATGGCTGTTAACTACAGCTGGTGTTGTGTCAGCAGCAACAGCTAACCCCATGAACTGACCATGCTGAAAGGGAGCTTTTCTGAGAACTTATTACTTGTACATATAAAAACCGTGCCCTGTGCTTTGTAATAGTGACATTCTTGAATACCTTCATAGGCTCAGTGAGATTGGAAATCCAAAGCTGTGCCAACTGGGAAGAGTTTTCCTTGTCCACTTTGAGATGTGTGATGGAGTGGAGTTTTTTCAATTCAATACAACAAATGTTTTAAGTTTGAAATAAATATAAGGAATGTGTCTTTTCAGTACCTAAAAATAGTCATAATGCAATGTAGGAGTACAAAGATGTAAGAAGTTTAAATACTGATGAGTCCTGTGTTGAGGACCTGTCAGTGAGAGCTATGCTTTTTGCTTTTGCAGGATTCGTATGCTGATCGATGAAGGCTATGAAGACAGAATTCTGATGGCTCATGATGTGCACACGAAGAATAGGTTGATGAAATACGGAGGTCATGGATATTCACATATCCTCAAAAACATTGTTCCTAAAATGCTGATTAGAGGCATATCCCAGGATAAAATTGATAAAATACTGATAGAAAATCCAAAGCGGTGGTTGACTTTTAAGTAAGAATAGTGAATTAATATCCCTACCTTATAGGGAAGATTGATACAATTCAGACGTGATTTAGGAGAGCAGCCATTTAAATACGTGCTTCTTTTCAGAGATCCAGAAGGCATTAGTGCTATGAACAACCTGATTATGACTTTTTAATTAGACCACCAAAATTACTTATTTTCTCTGTATTTCCTCCCTTCTAAAAGTCCATTTGTGAATGATTTGCTGGATATGCACCTATCTGCAAAATCTTTTCAGTGTATTAAAATAACTGTTACCAAAGAGTCATCTCATATTATTATTACATTCTCCAAAAATATTTTTGAAGAAGCATCATCTGGGCTTTGAAAGAAATTACAGTTTTCAATTAAATTCCCCTTCTCCAGGGTGTGATTTTAATTCGTGTAATATTGATAATCTGCTAATTATCCTTTATTAAGCACTATTTAAATGATATAAGGTCTGCCACTTTTAAATCACTTCCAAAGAGAACAGAGGGCTAAATTTCAAATAATTCTAAAAAGATGCTGTTTTTTTCTACTTGAACAATTTACTTATTTCTGACTGAAACTGGAAGAAAAAATACATGACAAATATTATTTTTTAATAAAGCAATTTGTAGACTCCTGTATGTAGTAGCGTCACGGATTTCTTTTTTAAACATTAATTTGTCGTCTTGAATTTATGGAACCTCTCACTGATCACATGTAAGTGCATACAGACCATCGGCTTTTTGTAAGGATGCAACACCAAAAGTCAAAATATATTACATAATATGGTTTTAATGAGTTGCAATAGTTATAACAAAGTTGTGATATAAGTCTTTACAAATCAGTATATCAAGATATGATGAAAAAGGAATAAATGTTTGCCTTATATGTGTTTTTCACATGAAGTGTGTTCTTTCCTCTTGTCTATCTTTTACCAAGCAATTTATCCAAAAAAAAAGGTAGTAGTGGTAGCCTGATTTCAAAAGCTTCTTCAGATTTGACCTAATATGTCTTGCAGTGCTGAAGTTTTCCCATAAACACCTCAGTAAATATGCATTGCTAGTTGCAAATGATTTCTAGCTTGTTACGTTACTGCTTGATACCACACAGACAACCTCTACTGCACTGCTGGCAGTGTGCTAAAAGTGATAAAAGCAATCCTGGATTGAACAGACAAGAAGTCAACTACACATCTGCTACTGCAATGCGTGACGTAGTAGTAGGAAACCAGGAGTGATCCCTGCCATGTACACATACAGTCAGGAGTGATCCCTGCCATGTACACACAGCTCAGCGCTGTGTTGTAGCCCAAAAGCATAACCAATCTGATGAGACACAAGCAGTCTGCAACTCACTGTCTCTCTGTAACACCTAGATGAATGATGCCAGCCATCCTCTTAGCCTGGGCCATCTCAGTGTATTTTTTGACAACTCAAACCAGAAACAGAATGAGAACTGTGCTCTGTTTAAAAGCTTTACTCATTCAAACGAGTTTTTTTAGAGACATTCTTCAAATCTTCATCACTTTTACTGAGGACTCAGCACTGGAGAGCTTTATGTCTCAATGGCAGACACTTTGGGTGTCTTACTGCAGAGAAATCTGAGTTCATACCCTTAGCAGATTAGACAAGGTTGCTTATGGCAAATGGCATGAAACTGAAATGCTAGGGATTGCCTCTATTACTCTTCAATGATTTTTACAAATTCTACCTTGACTTTGCCAAATTTCTAAGAATAACATAACCAGCTGTGCTAAGGAGCTAGCTAATAATCTTGGTAACATTTTTAGATGGAAATCTGCAAGTTTTAACCGGAGAGAAATAGATAGCCTCCCGTCCCCCAAACAAAGCAAATAATAAATCTATTTTCAGAATAGAAGTATTCTGTGGCTATTCCTGGTATGACTGATTTTAAAGCATTTTTATAACTATGTAACTCATAGTATCTGTGCTTAGTTTAATTCTCCAAGCTATTAATCTTTTATATGTATTAAACTTCTTTCTTTGAGACTTTAGATATATATATCTTTATATATATATATATATATATGAATGAGAAAAATAGGTTTTAATACACACTCTCTTGCATGTAAGTATCTGCTTCTTTCTTTGCATATGTGTTTTCATTTTTGGTAATATACTTATCTATGTCCATCTCATAGGCACACCTTACTACAAACTGATAGCTAAGTACCACGGAGAAGGCCTGCGTCCCAACACTTTCTCCTGTATTTCATCTCCCATTCTTCCTTTGTGGGAAAGATCCCCAACTTCAGTGAGATGAGACACTGAAGACAATCAAGTGTTGGCCCATTCCTACAAAATTCTAGTTATGTTCAGTATGTTAAGTCATTACTGTATTATTAAAAATAGTAGCCAAGTACAGACTAAGTGCTAAAGGACTAATGAGGACTAGTTGCTGCAAAGAAAACATCTGACCTGGATCTGAAGATGTGGATTCTAGGCCTAAATATTTACATAACTAACCATCAGGAATGGGCCTGTAACATTGGCTAAATATATATTTACACATGTTTACAAATTAACAGCCAAATCCTCTTTCCACTAACATCAATGGGAGTTTTGCCATTGGCTTCAGTGTAATTGGGGATTTGGTCCAATATAGTAGTTTGACAACTGTTAAATTTTTCAGGAAAAAAAGTGGTTTTTTTCTATCTCTCTTTTTCTTTTAGAACACAGCTAAGGGAAAGACAAAATTGAACAACTTGAGTGGTTGGATATTATGTTAAAAGTCTAATGTAAACCTACAAAGCAGGAACATCGAGTTAAGGCTTGAAGCTGATTAGTTTCTAGTTTTAAGTGGAAGGAGAAGAAAAGTACAAGGCAAACAATTCCTTTGGAGAGAGAAAGTGTATTTTGATTACCTCTTCCTTTTATTGTAAAATCATTCCTCACCACACTATGAGTGGACTCCAAGCATCATTGTTAGCAGGTAAGTCACAAGAACCAAAGCTGAAGTATGGATAAAGCAGCAAGATCATAACACATCAAAGTATCATATACACTGAAGAAATAACTCAGCGTCTTTTTGTGTTTGTTTCCTATAAAAATTTGATCTATGTAAGACTTCATTCACATGGACACTAACAATGAGGAAGTATTTGCTTTGGCGGTAGTGGATCGCACATCTGTTTAGCTTGGTTTGTATTTTTTTTAACGCAAAGTCTCTCTGTGTCGTACAGATGTGAATCAGGTAGCATTCGACATTCCCCCACTGGTGAGGTGTAGCGGTCAATCTCTGCTGGGGTGCTTGTTTCACTGACTTTTGCCACGCAAATCCATTGCTTAGAAGAGCGAGCTTCATTGTCGGAGTGCTTGGGTGCGTCTTTTGACTCATTATCAGTCAGCATAAATAATAAATCCAGAAAATGTGCTGTATTTGTTGTTGTTCCCTCCATGTGCTTTTCCTCCATCTAATTTAATGTAAACTTCATCTCCCGGCTCCAGGTGAAGAACCACGCTGTTACTGGCATAGTCGTAATTCTGGTCGGCATCCTGAGCAATGGCGCTAGCTCGGACCTACGTAAAATACATAGTCAGTGGTTAAGAAAACACAGACAACTTCTCCTGCACACCGAGATTTAAAGCTTCTGTACATTGCCACTTTACGTGTGTAAAAACATACACTGCCTATTTTTCTTATGGGCACTGCTGATCTTCTCACACAAAACAATATCTGAAACTAAAGCAATGACCTGCTCATTCCTCAGCCACCCAGAGAATACAGCACCACTTGCATTCCTCTAAACGCGTTGTGCCTTTGAAAGCATATATGTAGTAACAGCTGGAGGTGGGACAGCTGGTTCTGGTCATGTGCCAGCTTTACATTGGTGCAACTTTCATCTCAGTGGAACAACTGATTGACATTGGTGAAGGTCTGCAGCGAGGCCCTGTGGATACCGAGCTGGAGTTGTTCCAGAGCCGATTTATTGCTGTACAGCTAATAGGATCATGCTGCAGAAAGAAGCAAAAAAGGCACACCCACACACTTACAGCACGCCCCAGTGCACACAGGCAGGTAAGAATTTGGAAGAGCTGTTAGTGCCACATTTCATTGAGCAAGCAGTTATATTCTGTGCAGTGTAAAGGAGGCACACTGAAAAATGATGGGTACGTCGCTGTTTACTTTGAGAGGTTTTGGAATTTACAGGCAATGGAGGACTCCTAATTCCATTTACAACTTCCACTCGAACATGCATTTCTGTCCCATTTCCCCCTGGCTATGCCACTTCTGATTAGATGTGATATTCCAGCAAACTGGATGTAATCTGTAATTTCAGGACGGACGTTGGTTTCCAGCAACGTCTGTGACACTGTAAGTCTCCAAATCGTTTATATATAATTTGACCCCGTTTGTTAAAATATTTAAACTTGGCTGCGTGTGATTTATTGCAGTGCAACACATCATCTGCTTGTTGCTTGTCTTTGTTCTGGCATCGTTACGGAGCAGTAAGTGATTTAGAGGCGCTGCAAACCTGCGCTAAGTAATAATGCATGACTTGGTGTTCTACGTGTGGGATTCTGTCTGTTCTGAACCAGAGGAATAGGCTGTAAGTCACAAATGGCCACGGATCCCTTTCAAGTTTAAATGACAAATTTCCAAATTACACTTTCATGGGAAATGATCTCCCATTAATACTGAGATGTTAAAAAAGGAGGAGGGGTCTTTACCGTGGAGGATCGCGTAGTATTAAAAAACCACAGTAGGTGGGAATTCTTTGTTCTTCCTGTATGGGTGTGAAGGGCTGAGAAGTCTTCCAGTGCTTTGACAGCCTGCAAATTTACTACTGCATGTTAACAACCCCCAGCTATTTCAGGACTTCTTCCCAAACCGCCTCGAATTGTTTACAGAGTGCATCTCTTCTGCTGGTGTCTCAGCAAGCATTATTCTAAGCACAGGGTGTTTCCTTTGGGTTAATAACCAGCGGGTGGAGCTGAAGGCTCTGGGCATTAACCCTAGGAACACCCCCAAAGAAAACAGCACGGGCTGAGACTGTTGGTAGCGTAAATGGAAAGGGCAAAATGGAAAGGGGTGAAATGGCTGCAGATGAGGTGGAGAAACTTTCACAGAGAACAACTATCTTGCCTGCTGGCAAACAAAATGGCTTAAAATGCTTCCCAAATTTCTATTTAGCTCACAATTAAATGCTACATAGTGTATTTCTCTAAATTTTGTATTGACCGTGGATAGTAGGAGCAAACTCAGATTGTATTCCAGACTGTCGTAAGGTCAGCCAGTGTGAACACTGGATACAGCAACAGACATTTCATGTTCAGGTTTGAGACAGTACCTCGTGCCTGAAGGCAAAAAAGAAAAAAGACCCAAAGTGCAGATATTACTGCCCTGTGCCTGCTGGTAAACATCCTGTACATCCAGCGTGCCGTAGGCTTACACCTGCTCCTCTGGTCAGCCAGCATCATTTCCTGGTAAAGCCTGTGAGAAGAGCCTCGAGGAATGCTCAGAGCACTGCTGTGAGTGTGAGCGTATCTCAGAGCGAAGCCGCTCAGCCCCATACGGCCCTGGAGCCGCACGGTGCTCACCTCAACCTGCAGCCACACGGGGACACAGCGCTGAGCTCCACGCTCAGCACCTCCCTGTGATGGATTAAGTTTGCACACCTCGGTGTTCCTCGGAGGCTTTGCGTGGGTATGAAAGGCTTTCCTGCGAGCCGTGCATTTTCCACCCAGCATTTCCATTGTTAGAAACACTGCGTTTACCGTGACATCTTCGTCAGAATCCCCAACGCCTCACATGCAGAATTTCTGCACTTTCTCACCACCATCACACACCGTCAGCCACAGGCACTCCAAGGATAAAGCAGAGCCAAAAGAGGGACTGCTGTGCTGGAACCGCATCTGTGATACATAAGTTGCGTGCAGGTATTCGCCTGAATATCTGCACACACATCTGCAGCTCCACAGACACCTCCCTCCTTTTTTTCTTTGAGACACCGAGAGTTCAGTGTGCCTCGTGCCTGACGCTGGAAGTTGTCGTGTTTGGAAACAGACTTCGGGCTCCATTTAATATTTATCGCCGTTACTTTTTTAAACAGCGCAGGGGCCTGAGAAAATAAACACTGAAAACGCGTTATAATAGGGGCCGGGAATGGCCGTACGTTCTAATTGCCGGCATAATGGTATTACCACGGCGGGCAGCGCTTACTTTACGTGGAGAAATCAAAGCGAATGCATTACAGCGCGCTCTGCTTTCCCGGTCCCGGTTTATCTGCCGCGATGATATTTACGGCAGACATGTTCTAATTTAATTAATTGCCGCCGATGTCCTCATTATCCCGTTTTCACAGCGCTTCTGAGGAGCCGTAAATAAAAGGTTAAGCGCCGTGTCGGACCCAGCTGCCGCCGCGGGCGGAGGTGAGCGAGCGAACGGCCCCTCCCGGCCCCGCGCTGCCCGGGACGCGGCCGCTGCCCGACGGCACTTCGAGGCGCGGCGCCGGGAGCGGCGTTGCCCGGACCCGCCGAGTGCGCGCCGAGCGGCCCCGGGGACGGCGGTACCGCCACAGCCCCGGACAGCGCGGCGGCAGCGCCTCTCCTAATTAAAACGGATTGTTCCGCCGTCTTTCGCGCGGCGGCATCGCAAGATCTTTAATTATTTGTGAACGTCGCCATCCCCCCGCGGGGAACGGCAGCGAGCCGGGGCCACGACGGTGTTTCTAGGGGTGTTCGGCACAAAGCCGCCGTCCGCTGGCGCTTCCCCCGGCGTTGACCCGCTACGAGGTGGGACCCGGGGCCGCCGAGACCGCAGGGCGTTCCCTCCCGGCTCCCGCTCCTCTCGGGGCTCTCAGACCGCGGCTCCCCGTCCCGTCCCGGCTCCGTGCCCGCGGGTTTGCCAACCCCGTCCCGGCCCACCTGGTTGTTCTTGCAGAGGTCGGCCCACATGCTGGTGCCGTCGCCGCCCCGCATGAGCACATGGTAGGTGAAGAAGTAGATGCCGGGGATGGAGCAGGTGAACTTGCCGGTGGTGGGGTCGTAGTGGTTGCCCAGGTTGGTGACCACGTCGTCGAACTTGAGCACCTCGTAGCCCTCGTGCTGCCGCTTCAGGCCGGCGTAGAAGGCGATCTTGGGCACGGTGCTGTAGGTGGCGGCGCTGATGGCCCCGGCCGCGTTCAGCCCCGGCGCCCCGGGCGGCCCCGGCAGCCCCTGCCGTCCCGGCTCGCCCTTCTCGCCCGGCGGCCCCACCGGCCCCGGCGGCCCCGGCTCCCCAGGCGGCCCGCGGGGCCCCGCTTTGCCCGGCCGGCCGGCGTCCCCCTTGGGCCCCTGGATGAAGGTGGGCAGGGACTGCATGAGGCCGCGGTCGGGCGTGGCCGCCGTGCTGGGCGCCTTGGTGCCGCCGTAGGGGTCGCAGACCATGCGGCAGGTGCCCAGCATCTCGTAGTGCGCCGAGGTGCCGGCCGAGCTCACCAGCACCGGGATGAGGACGACAAGCAGCAGCACCATCACCACTCCCAGCGCTCCGGCCGCGATCAGCCGCCGCCTGCTGCCCACCAGCCGGCTCAGCGCAGGGCGATCCTCCTGCCTGCTTTTGGACAGAATCTTGATGGCTGTGCGGGGACCTCCTCAGAGCCGAAAAAACGCCGAGCCCGAGCGAGCCCGGCTCCCGGGGCTTTGGCCCTCCCGCTGCCGGCGGGTCCGGCGCTGCGCTGCGGCCGCCGCGGGCGGGTGTGGAGGGAGCGCCGCCGCCGCCCCGACCGCCGCACTTTTATGCTCCCGCCGGCGATCGACTTTTTTTTTTTGCACACCGTGCCAGTCCGAGTCAACTTTCCCTGCAACTTGCCTTTCCTCTCGCGATCGCCCCGCTCTCTCTCTCTCGCTCGCTGTTTTTTTTTTTTTCCCCGCAGAGGTGACGGCGCTCAGCGGGGACGCGCTGCCCGCTGCCCGACGCCGCTCAGAGCCCGCGCTGCCGCCGGAGCCGGAGGGAGAGCGGGATCCCGCCCGGTGCCACCTGCCAGCAGAGGAGGAGGCTGCCGAGCGCGCTGGAGCAATTTATAGGCACCCAAAAGCGCAGGGGAAAGGGGAGCTGCTTTGGCATCTCATTCCAGCATCTGCTCCGCTCTTCCCACTCACAGGGAGTTTGGCATTACTCTGGCAGTGTGGGAAATATATATTTTTTTCCTGTCTCCCCCCCGTAGCCCTCCCCACGTCTCCCCCCCCTTCCACCCCCCCGCAGGCGGATGAACAGCAAAATCGTGCGCCTCGCTCAGTGCTGCGCCGCGCGGTGACGGCTCCTTCGGAGCGCAGCGAGAGGCAGAGTTCTGCCCGGCCTTTGTGCACCCCCGGGGTCACCGGCGGAGAACTGGAAGGTCACCCCACCTCCCGCCCGGTGCTGCCCCGCCGAGCCTCTGTTTGCTGCGAAATAGCGTTTTAATTGTAGGGGTGCTGTGCAGTTCCCGATTGCTCAGGTGGAAGTTCTCTGGTCACTCAGCACCGGCACAGAGATCGGCACCTCTCACAGCTCCGGAGCTCCCTCTTCACCTCTCCCCGGTTACGGCCGTAAGTGCAGAGAGGGGAACGTTCCTTTCCTTGAATTAAAACCGATGTTCTCATCACCGGCGCTAAAAGCAGCCACCCCTCTGCTGTCGGTGACACAGAGGAACACGGTTCCCTATTGCTCAAAAACCCAAGGAAAGCGCGGGGCATACACGGACCAGCAGATGCCCAGAGCTATGACGAAGCTCTCTGCCTCACCTCGAGGGCAGCAAAGCGTTTTATTCAGTATTTTTGTTTCGTTTTTGCTAAAGGTTTCTCCTCCCCCGAGGGTTGGTGTGCACCTCTGTGCCACGGTAAGAAGGTGAATGTGCAATCCTGGTGGCATTTCTCCCAAGGAAATATTAAGCAACTTGTCTTGCTCACAAATATACAAGGTACACAAAGAGCTGCTTAAATAAACAAACGGAATTGATTCCTAAATCATACTTCTGTATTCAGGAGCAATGGACGTCAATCAAACGTCGGTGACATTTGCCTGTCAATACAGGGATGATGGCTGGAAAGAGTGTGACTTATTACGGCAAGGCAAGAATCTGAAATGAGCGGCGGCAGCAAGTAGGACAACAACCAAATAATAGCATCTCCAGCGATGATCAGAGAGCTGTGATCTTGTCTCGGGTTTTATTAGCACGAATCCCCTCTCCCTTTCCCCCCGCACTCTTTTCTTTCTTTTCTGTTTCGCAACACAATAAGGTCAAACAAGCAGGCAGTGGGAAACAAAGATTCATTGATTCTTCCTTTTAAGCAGAAATGTCAGCGGCTCCTTTTGCTCTTTCCTGGGAGACTCAAAGGCAGTGAATGTGTCCACACCGCGCAGAGATGGGCCCTCCCAGCTCCTTATCTCCCCAGAAAACTCCCGATAAAGCCTCCATTTCACACACTTTTAAATACCCCCACTCCCGCTTTCTCTTTCTCTATTTTTTTCTTTAACGCTTCATCTTTCAGTGATTCTTTATCTGGCTCTGGCACAAGTGAGCCATTTCCCTCAGCAAAGGGCTCCCACTCAGGGCCCGGGAAGGCAGCAGAACACATCGGGAGGATTATTCTTCTATCTCATCGCTCTCTCTGCCCCACAGGAAAAGGCTTTCAACACTGCTCTTTAGTCTGTGCAAGAAGAAAAGTTGTGTAGAATGACAGCTCTGCCTCAGACTGCAGAGTGGCCCTCGGGGTGCTGCGTTCTGTCATCTGTTGCCCAGCAGGATTTCGTGGCACCAGGATGTGCCCACACTTCCATTGCACCTTACACTCAAGGAGTACCCTTGAGCCTTCAGATGGACACGAACCCATCGTGCTCTTGGTGCCAGGTCAGCAGCAGGTGCCATGTGCACTCAGTTCCACGCTCTAGCTCTGGAATCCTGGATCTTAAAGCAAGCTCCTACCAACCTACCGTGTTTATCTCCTTAATACTCAGATTTATCTTCATGCATATTGTCAGCCATCTCTGAAGCTCATTTGCTCCTGCAGACTTTCTCTCCAAGAAGGTCTGAGCCAGCCACAACGTCACAGCCTGAGCAAGCAGGAGCACCCTGTGTTTGCCTGTGGTGAGTTGTCCATGAAGACTGTGTGCTGGCAGGGAATGCCACCTAGGACACCAGTGCCTCAGGAACCTGGTCATCCTTGATAAAAGCATATTTTCCAAGGAAACTGCAAGTGGAAAATTAAAGGGCTGAAAAGTTACACACTGAAGGAGTCAGTACTTCGGTGAAAGAATTTTTATAATGGGACATTTGTTGCCCTGAAGTGACTTACCAAAGCATTGACTCACTCAGTTACAGCCTAAGTATCACTTCTGTTAGAATATTATCTCTTCTCTGCACAAAAGGCTAAAAATGAAGATGGATGTTCATTCCTAACAAACTTATCACACTAAGGCCAGACACTGCTTGTCCTAATGCAGTGACCACTGCTACATTTCTTTGTCCTTTTCCTTTAGCTCCCCTTCTCTTCGGGGCTGCTGTGTGAGCTGCATCCCCTGCAGCTTCTGCCATTTGAAGCAGCCTGCCCACAACTCCTTTTCTTACTGACTAATTAGCTAATGTTCATACAGAGCCTTAAGGACGTGAAGCATAACTCGCACATTAATTTTTCTTCATGTGCCTGGAAGAGCAGGTACTGTTGTCTCACCACTGGGATAGGGGAAAATGGGAGAAAACCAAACATCTTGACAAGTAAAGGCATTCTGCAGTCCCCATGCACAACATGGCTCCTTCAGCCTGGGGTGCTCAGTCCAGAGGGTGAGCCAGGGGAAAACAGCATGTGGGAAGGGTTCAGTACTACAGCAAGCAGCAGTAATGCAAAGAAGGGCAAATGCTGAACAAGGGACTGCTCCAAAACCATGCCAAGTTCCAGCTGTCCCACTCACTCCTATCTGCATCAGCTTTGTTTTTGCTTATACTTTAACTAATTAAAAAAAAAATCTTTTAGAGAAGCATTTTGAATTCCAGTCATCTCAGATATTGCTATACCTCATCTTTAGAAATACGGGTTGAACCACGTAGATAAGTGTTGGTGTTTCAGCTGGGTACCAGTGGCTGAATTCTGCTGTGCTGTGGTTGAAGGGCAACAAGCACTCACCCCAGCAGGTAACTGGCTTCAGTGCTACAGAATAAAGTCAAGTTACAAATGGAGTGTAAATAATCATATAGGTATAAATGGCTCAAAGGCACCATGATGAGCAGTGAAAATGCTGCTGCTATCCTAAGCCACTTCCAGTACTGTTTCAGTTCTGTTCACCCACCTCACTGTATTCCATACTGTGGGTTTCAGAGAGGCTCCTGCTCTGCTTTCCGGTGGAGGATTGTGCAGGTAGCAGCAGCTGAGCTCTCCCAGAGCTCTGTTTCCATCAGTAGTGCAGAACATTTGTATTTATAATGATGTAAGTTGCCCACTGGCTTCCTTTTTTTAAAATTAAGGTTTTTGTACTCATTGAAGGAAGTTCAGCTTCTGTGCAACAAAAGATGTTTTGTTGATATTTTGGAAGTTTTACCTGTCTTTTGAAATTTAAGAAGTCCTTCAGCAAGATATTCTCTGCTATTCAAGGATCTAAATCTTTGTGTGTGACTGAAAGTAGTCCAGATTAATGATGATGTTGTTTTTTTTCCCCCATAATTAATAATGCCCTTCAACAGCTCCATGAAGATCAGTCTCTGACCCTCAAATCAAAGAGGAAAATGATTCAAAGTACAATTCAAAGAATCACTTTGGCCTTGCAAGGGTTACAACCACTTTACAAAGTCAAATGAAGGGAGAATTCAGGGGGGACTGTCACTAAAGTGACAGCTCAACAAGGAGAATTTGCAAATAAATTCCATATCTCTTTCTTTTTAGTTTTTAATCTGAAAAGATCAGTCAAACATGACCGGTTACTGGGGGGAAGGGAGAGAATAGGAATTAAAATGAAAAGATCTGTACCCAGATTATGTTCTGACAGGTGAGTCACTGCAGATCATGTATGTAAAAATAAGCCTTCAACACAGATGTGTAATCTTTAGTTCTTGCTAACTGACAAATTTTATGGCTATAAAATAGTCTCAGATGATACTTGGTAATTTTTAACCTAATTAATAGTAACTAGGCATAAAAGGTACTCATGATTGCAAGAGCCCTTGTTTATTCCAGAGATTAGCCATCAGCTGCAAACATAAAGGCTGCTCCTGCAGATTTCTCCTTGTACACTTGTCTTTGTTTTCCATCCTCTTCCTCCCCACTCCATCCCCTAAGGTGCCAAACACAAAGCTGCTGCAATGCACACAGGATGTACTTTGAAATCTAAGATACTTTTTGGTAGCATTACTGGTACAGCTTTTCCAGTACCAGTGGTCCTTGAGCAGCTGATGGTTCTTGTATTGGTGACAGTATGCAACCGCAGGATCTGTACTCATTACCCAAGGTCAGTGTTGTGTTGTCTGGGTAGAGTGGTACCTGCTGAGCCCCTTCTCTGATCTGCCTCCCTGCATA